TAGGTAAGAAAAAGGAAATAAAATGTACCTAAATTGAAAATGAAGATGTTATTTCCAAATGAAATGATCTCATATAAGATAATTTTGATGAGTTCAGTAATATATATATATATATATATATATATATATATATATATATATATATAATGGATCTTTAACCTTGAGGAATATAAAATGAATACATAGACTACCAACTGTAATCCTATATCCCTATAATAAAGGATCTGAAAATAATTCTAGGAGTTGGAGAAATGGCTTGGAGGTTCAGAACACTGGATGCTCTTTCATAGGACTCTGGCTCAATTCCCAACACCCACATGGTGGCTTAAAAACCATCTGTAACCGGTTGCAGAAGATCCAATGCTGTCTTCTGGCCTTCCCATGCACCCAGACATGTACATAGTATACAGACACACTTACAGGCAAAAACCCCATACGCAGGAAGTTTTTCTCCTAAAAGGAAAATAATTGTACTAATAATAGCATGAAAAAACACAGCAAAGAAGTGTAAGATTTATAATTTAAAAACTACAAATTACTGTCTCGTTAATTGAAAGACAGCTGGGCATGGTGGCATACACCTTTAATCCAGCAGTTGGGAGACAGAGGCAGGTGGATTTCTGTGAGTTGGAGGCCAGCCTGGTCAACAAAGAGTTCTAAGCCAGCCAGGTATAAGGGTTTGAATGAGAATGGCACCCACAGGATCATACATGTGAATGTTTAGTCCCTAACTGGTGGGACTGTCTTGGGAAGGATTAGGAGTTATAGTCTTGTTGGAGGAGATATGTGACTGAAGGTGGGCTTCAAAATCCCAGTTCCAGTCTTCCTTTCACTCAGTCTCTCTCTTCCTCTGTCTCTCTCTGTCTCTCTCTCTCTCTCTCCCTCCCTCCCTCTCTCCCTCCCTCCCTCTCTCCCTCCCTCCCTCCTTCCCTCCCTCCTTCTCTCTCTCCCTGTCTCCTCCTCCTTCTCTTTGTCTCTCTCCCTCCCTTTCTCCCCGACTCTCCCCTGTGCTTGTGGATCAGATGTGACTCTCAGCTACTGTTCCAGTGCAATGCAATCCTGCCTACCTACCATGCTACCTACTATGATGATCAAGGACTCACCCTCTGAAACTGTAAGAAAATCCTCAATTAAACATTTTTTATAAGCAGTTTATAAGAGACCTTGGTCACAGTGTCTCTTCACAGCAATAGAAAAGTAACTACAACACCAGTGCTGTGTAGTGAGATCATTGCTAGGAGTCTTAGCTAGGGTCAGCCTCATAGATTTCCATTGTGCTAGGTTTCAAGTTGTCCCCAAGATGTTCCCCAATTCCTGTTATCTCTCTCAGTACTCTATTCCTCTTTCCCTCTCCCACCTGATCCCTCATGTTCCCATCCCCACCTGCCCACAGTCCACCCATGAAATCTCTTCTATTTCTCTTTCCCAGGGTCTTCCTTGTTACTTAGCTTCTCTGTGTCTGTGGATTGTAGCATGGTAATCTGTTTCAACTAATATCCACTTAGAAGTGAACATACTATGTTTGTCTTTCTGTGTCTGGGTTACCTTACTCAGGATGATTTTTTTTCTAGCTCCAGCCATTTGCCTTCAAATTCTATGATGTCATTGCTTTTAACAGCTGAATAATACTCAAATAAACAGTTGAGGGACATATAGGTTGTTTCCAGCTTCTGATAATTACCAATAAAGCTTCTATGCACATAGTTGAGCAAGAGTCCTTGTGGTAGGATGGAGTTTCCTATAGGTATATGGCCAAGAATGGTATAGCTAGGTCTTGAGGTAGATCCATTCCCAGTTTTCTGAGAAACCACCATATTTATTTCCAAAGTGGATGTACAAGTTTGCACTCCCACCAGCAATGGAGGAGTGTTCCCCTTGCTTCACATTATCACCAGCATGAGCTGTTTCTTGTGTTTTTAATCTTAACCATTCTAACAGGTGTAAGATGGAATCTCAGAATTGTTTTGATTTGCATTTCCCTGATGGCTAAGGATAATAAACACTTCTTTAAGTGTTTATCAGCCATTTGAGATTCTGTTGAGAATTATGTTTAGAGCCTGTACCCTATTTTTAATTGAGTAATTTGGTGTGTTGATGTCTAGTTTCTTGAATTCTTTATATATTTTAAATATTAGCGCCCTATCTGATGTGGTATTGCTGAAAATCTTTTCCCATTCTAAGGCTGCCATTTTGTCCTATTGATGGTGTCCTTTGTTTTATAGATGTTTTTCAGTTTCATGAGGTCCCATTTATTAATTGTCAATCTTAGTGCCTGCATTATTGGTGTTCTATTCAGAAAGTTTTCTCTTGTGCCAATGTGTTCAGGGATATTTCCCACTTTCTCTTCTATCAGGTTCAGTGTATCTGGTTTCATGTTGAGGTCTTTGATTCACTTACACTTGAATTTTGTGCAGAGTGATAGATATGGATCTATTTGTATTCTTCTACATGCTGACATCCAGTTTGATCAGCACCATGTGTTGATGATGCTTTCTTTTCTCCATTATTTAATTTTGGTTTCTTCATCATCAAAAAATCAGATGTCCATACATGTGTGGATTTGAATCTGGGTCTTTGATCCAACATCATTGACCTTCTTGTCTGTTTTTATGCCAATACCATGCACTTTTTTCTATAGCTTTGTAGTACAGCTTGAAATTAGGGATGGTTATAACTCCAAAAGTTCCTTTATTGTACAGGACTCTTTATCTATCCTGGTTTTGTTGTTGTTGTTTTTCCATATGAAGTGAATACTATTCTTTCAAGGTCTGTAAAGAATTGTGTCAGACTTTTCATGGGGATTGTGTTGAATCAATGTTGCTTTTGGTAAGATGGCCATTTTTACCATGTTAATCCTACTAATCCATGAGCATGGGAGGTCTTCCAGTCTTCTAGACTCCTAGCAATAGGGAATATGGAGCCTGAACTGGTCATCTCCTATATAACCAGGCAAGACTTCCAGTGGGGGGATTGGGACACCAACCCAGCCACATAACCTTCAACTTACAATTTTTCTTGCCTACAAGATGTGCTGGGGTATAGATGGCACAAAAATTATGGGAATGGCCTACTAATGACTGGTCCAGATTGAGACCCATGCCACAAGAGAGATCCTATCCCCAATACTACCTGGAGGTCGAGGAACCAGAATCTGGACAGCCCAGAGACCTAGGATAGAACCAAACATGACTAGAAAAAAAAACAATAAAATGATTCCTAATGATATTCTGCAATACTCAGTTGATTGGTGCCTAGCCCAATTGTCATCAGAGATACTTCATCTAGCATCTGATGGAAACTGATGCAGAGAGGCACAGCCAAACATTAGGCAGACCTCAGAGAATCCTTCTAAAGATAGGGAGGAAAGATTGTAGGAGCCAGAGCGGTCAAGGACACCACAAGAAAACCCACAGAATCAACTAACCTGGGCTCATAGGAGCTCACAGAGACTGAACTACAACCAGGGATCCTTCATGGGACCTACCTAGACTCTCTGCATATACATTACAGTTGTATAGCTTGGTCTTCTTGCGGGGCTCCTAACGGTGGGAGCAGGGGCTATCTCTGACTTTCTTGTCAGCTTTTAGGACCCTATTCCTCATACTAGATTGCCTCATTCAGCCTTCAATTTGGTATGCCATGTTTGACTGATATCCACGGGAGGCCTGACCTTCTCTGAATAGAGACAGAGGAGGAGTAGATGGGTGCAGAGGGGAGATGGGGGGAGGGATTGGAAGGAGAGGAAGGAGGGGAAACAGTGGTCAGGTAGTAAAATAAATAAAATATATATTTAGAAAAAAAGAAAAACAAGAATTGACTTTGGAATCAGAGGTGGTCAATAAGATCAAGGAAACAGTGTTTTCCAGAAACAACAGGGCAGGCACACATATGAACTCAGAGTGATGGTGACAATATGCACAAGACCTGTACATACTCCAGCCAAAGGAATAAAGAATTTGGTGAGGAAGGAATGAGTTAAAGATAGGCTTTAATTTTAAAAGTCCCCATATGTGTGCATTAGAATATTTACTATTTTTAAGATGTTGATAAGAACTAAAATATTATATATACTTTATGAAATGCAGTGAGAACTTAACAAGGTTTAAATACATTGTGTTTTACATAATTCTACAAACTTATCCTAAGATTCATATAGAAAAGCAAGAGTCAACTAGTAGGAAAAATAATCTGGCTTTAAACTTACTAAAACCTATAGGATTAATAGTAGTGTGACAGTGACATAAATACAAAGAGATCCATGGAATAAAACCAAGATTCTACAATAAAAACTAGTCAATTCAAAGTGGAAAAGGAATTTAATGGAACTCTATCCAAAGAATATATGTATTTCATATGTGTTTATATATATGCATCATTTATATAAATATATTGTGTCATATATGTGAGATATATGACATAATGCAAGAGTGTCATCAGTAGTGAAATACAAATCAAAGCTACAAATGGATAGCACACCTCAGCAACTAGGTTGTCCAAGAGGACACTAACAAATATTGGCAAAAGTAGAGAAACCTTAGACCCTCCATCCACTGTTTGTAGTATACAATGGCGCAACTGTTTTGGAAAGCAGTGAAACTACTACTATCTTACCCAGCAAACTTCACTCCTAAGTCTATATTCAAATGAATTGAAGTACATATTCCACACTTGTACAGAGATATTCATTGTAGCTTTGTTCATAATAGTCCAAAATTGAGCACAACCTAAATATTCATCACCCGATAAATACATACTGTGTCATACATAATAAACAACTGATTATTTGTTTTTACTTCTATAATATTTAACATACTATCGATATGATAAACAATTGTCCTAATCATGGTAGCAATGTCTTTTTTGAATATTCATTCTTCAGTGGGATTGCTTACAAGTAAAAAAATAAATTCTTTTTAGTGATATACACACCAACTAAGAGAATAATAACTTAAATTTTATGATAATTTCACATATTAAAGTGCCATTTTAAAGTACATTACTTTTTTGTGGTGATTGTAGTCCTTCCACTACTGGATGGTTGGTTATGGGATGCATATATTTCCTGTCTCAACTTTGAGAGTTCCTTACAAATAAAACATAATGATTATTTAAACAGAAATATAAACATGAGGTAATAAGGTTACTAATAACAACCCCAACCACTCCTCCTGTTTTGTTTTTATGTAGTGTTCTAATCCTACTAATGTTGATCCACAGTAGCCAAAATGCTAAACATGCCTTTAAAGAAACCCACTAACTAAGGTAGGATATCAACAATTGACTGGATATGGTTCTCTAAGTATGAGAATGTGAGTTGTTTGTTTGTTTGTTCTGAACAATTGAAAAGTAAGGTTAATGAATAATAATAATGATGGTGAAATTTCATTAAGGAAGCAGATTCAGAATCCAAACAGGAATTTATCATGAATGTTACTGCAAATGCCATTTTTTAAATAATAACAATAAAATATTAGCCCATTATTTTTAATAGTTCCTTTAGTACCTATTGTATGGCAGATTTGGGGCTACATGCTGCTGATATAATACAGTTCTTAAATGAAAGAGGAGTTCATGACCTTAGAATGAGCTCACAGGCTTTGGGGAATTTCACTGCTAATGAAATATAAATTACATGTCTTAGAAATAGTAAAGGTATAACACCAGTCTTTTTTATTTAACTTCCATTCCTGCTTTCAGTTGAATTGTTTCTCAAACAGAAATTTTACTATTCACATACATGCTCTCATGTGTAGTAAAGTATATCTTGGTAATGGATCCTTCCCTTAATGTTTTAAGAGTCTAGCCTTTAACAGCTGAACCATCTCTGCAGTTCAATGTGTCCTAATACATGGGAAGTAATTGTTCCATAGAACCTAATTATACTTTTCTTCTCCACCCTGTGTTTTCCTCTTCTTTTTCTTACCTCTGATTGACGCTTTATAAGAGAATCCTTCTCTTCCAGCAAGCTTGTCAGTTCATGAAGCTTAAATTGGAAGTCACTACAATTTCCTTCTCTTTTTGAAACATCTTTTTGGTACTGGTTTAATTGAGACTAAGGATTTAGAAACAATAATTATTATGATGCTCTTTTTTAAAAAACATACAACTGAATTCCAGTGAAGTATAGTTATATCAAGTCACATAGCTAGTCATCAAATGAAAAATGCTATATCAATTTCCATAAATGTCTATAGAATTTTATTGATATAAAATATAACTTGAAGTGTTAGTTAGATATTTCTAATTTTAAACAATCTGTGTTTGCTATTTATGATTAAGTACAATAATTGCTTTAGGCCATAACAATAAAATAAAGCTAAGAAAATAGGCATTTTGGATTTCTTCAAACACTAATTAAGGCACCTTCAATCTTAATGTTATACTGTGAATTTTAGTTCACAAAATTACTTTTGATGTGTGTCTTAAATGAATTTTCACAGAATCCCAGGGAGATAAGCATTATTTTCAAGAGTTAAATGAATCCTAGAAGTAACCCAGAATAACATAATAACGGCACAACTCAAAAAAAAAAAAAAAGATGCCTGAATAAATGTCCTGTCTTTCTTACTTCCCCATATGTGGATATAGAACCTACTTGGTTAAAGTGTTACTAATAATGTTAGGTTGGAAAAGAGGAAACCAGTGGAAGATATTTGGTAGAATAATTAGTAGAACTATTATCAAATTAAGTTTTGTTCAATTTATTTTAGAAAACAATTTCACTGGTCATTTTGTCTACTAAGATATTTAAATGCATCTGTCTACATTTAGGACTCAGTAAATTAAGGGTTAGTTAAATCCATTCAACATAGAATTATAAGGCAACATACTATATCCTTGCAAATATCCTAATTAAACAAAATCCAGTATAACTTATCATGAATGACAAAGTCCTTAATATGTATAATTTGTTAAAATACAGAGAACAAATGATCATAAGGTATCAAGCCCCAATTGATATATCTAAAACACAATTTATGAACCTAAGGCTCAGGGAACACCATGGAAGAGGGGGCAGGAAGCTTGTAAAAGCCAGAGAACCAGTAAATCTGCTGTGAAATTGACCCTTCTAGAAATGACTGGGAAATTTCACCCATGATGCTTCAACATCATGCCTGCCTAAACAATACCTGAAGAAGTATGACAATAGACATGCTAACACAGAATGGGAAAATCTCACCAGGCTGCACCCATGGACAAAGAACTACAAGCAACTAAGGAATGCAGAGAGTGGGAGAAATAGGTTTCCCTAGGGATGAATCCCTTAATTGGTTATTCAATACCAATATATACACACACAAAACACTAAATAGCTGAGCAGGTTGTATTTATTTATTTAGGCATTTGTAAAAAATATGCAATAATAACATTTAAAGAAAAAGAGGCCAGGCTCTCGAGAGGGAGCAAAGGATGGGTATAGAGAAGGGATTTTAGGGAGGAAAGAGAAGGAAAATGGAGTAATTATTTTTTAATTTAAAAAAGTTAACTAAAATATTCATAATCATCCAGCTAAACTATGGCTTAGCTATATAATTTTAAATATTACAAGTTTCTGAATAAACATGCATTAAGTAATATTATGAAGGGTCCTCCACCCATTTCCCAAATATAAATTGCTAAAAATTAATAAAAATCAAGATAATGAAATTAATATTCTTTTTCACCATCTGAGAAGAAAAATTAACCTACAGTATAAAAAATTTAACTTGAAATACCAGTTAGAAATTTCACTGTTTTTTAATATTCAGAAGTATATTCATAAGAAAAGGTTTAAGAAAATATTTAAAAAATCAACTTACTTATTTTTCTCTTTAGCTTTAAAATTATAAAAATCATTCTATTTATTTATTTTTATTTTTAAGAGTGGTAGGGTGGGGGAGTGGTGGTAATGGTGATAGTAATTATTATCTTTAATAAAATTTACTGTATTAAATTATCTGTTCATGCATGTGTGTGCATGCTTGTATGTGCATGCAGAGGCCAGAGGAGGGAGATAGATCTTGCAGAGCTGTAGCTATAGGCCTTTGAAGGATGCCTGGCTTGTTACATTGGTGATGGGATCCAAACTCTGCTCCTCATGATTGAAAAGCAAATGTTTTTAACCTCTGACTTACCTCTCAAGGTCTAACATCACTATTGCTTTTAAAAGTTTATATATATGCATGCATGCAATGTACGATCAACATACCCTTAGCTTGCCAATTTCTCTGTCTTTCTCAAGTCTCAAGTTTTTTACCATCTCCATATAATGGTTGCCAATCTCATCCATTTTAGCTTGTAGTATCGGGCCTGTGCAAGTCTCAGATACCTATACAAAATCAAAATAACTGTCTATAATTGGATTGTTAAGAAGGAAATATATATTAAGTTTTAATATTTATTATTACAAGAATACCATGTGATTAAATACGACATTGAAATAATAAAAATGACCATGAGAAGCTATTTGATAAGGTTCAGGTGTAAGAATAATAAAACTTTCATTTAAGGTCAACAGAAGGGAGTTAAAGTACTTCACAAGGTAAAGTTTTATATTCTATTAACAGTGACAGCTTTATAATTACATATCTAGGACAATATGATAAAAATTAGTACCTGTATTCGAAGGTTTTTATTCTCTTGCTCTAAATTACGTTTACAATATTCAAGTTCTTTTAGTCTATATTCCATGTCTGATAGTGTATGTCGAAGAGAAAGGTTATTTTCTTCCAGTGTCTGACATTTTGAGCTTGAGTCTTGAAGTCCTTGCTGTAAGGAAGACACATGTAGTCCATAAGAAAAATGCATTTTGATTTTACAGAGGAAATGTCCTTTTAAGTGATTCATTGAGAAAATTGAAGCAAATGCTTTCAAACTGAATCTTTTTAAATTCTTGCCTTTAGATGATATTTTAAACATCATACTACATATTATGCTTGTCCCTAATCTCATTTGCCTAACTTGAGCAAAAAGAAGTAACATTCATATAAAATGTTCAGTGTCCCAGACCTGCCTGGACTGAGTCTACCAGGTTGATCGCAGTCCTCAGGGGAGGCTTTGCCCTGGAGGAGGTGGGAATGGGGGGTGGGCTGGGGGTAAGGGGAGGTGGTGGGAGAGGGGAGAATAGGGAAACCCGTGGCTGATATGTAGAACTGAATGGTATTGTAAAATAAAAAAAAAAAATTTCAGTGTCCCAATTTTGTATTAGATTCTTGATAGATTCACCACATCATAGTATGCTAACAGTCACTAAAATGGTCATGCCCTTGATTGTGGTAAAAATAGCAACTTTGTAAAATCTTTGGGCAAGCTATGAGACAAAAAAAGAGAAAGAACTCTAGGGGACCATTACAGTTTGCTTAGAATTATCTCTGCTCATACAACTATAGAATGGGCCTAAGTTCATTCCCTTGTTTATTCAGTACACAAATGTAAGATCTACAGAAGCTTCTTTTTCCCAATTAATGTATCATTAAATTAGATGAATGAGTCAACGTAGACTTTCACTGGCAATTCTTGTTGCTCCAAAATACAGAGAACTGTGTGTTGTGTGTACTATATAACACATAAGGTTGCCCTTTTTTTCTGGAGGACATTCAGTTGTTGAAAATATGCGAAGCTGTTCAATTTTCAGATGAAGAAATTGTTCCATCAGATTTTAACACTGTCTGGGTTGTATCTCAGAACTTAAATATGCTAGCACTTGTGCATATGGAAAGCTATCAATCTAGAGTATCACCTACAAAAGACATCAACTTACTTGCTGTTGGCGATTATTTGCTCTCACTGATGCCAAGAGTTCTTCATACTCTTTTATTTGATTTTCTTTGAATGCCAAGTCCTTTTCAAGTCTTATCTTGTCATTTTCCAGTGACTAAAGGCAAAATTACTTATTAGGACTTGGAGTAATATAAAATTGTTAAGAGGCAAAGTCTTGTTTATGTTGTAAAATTTAAATAAAAACTTGTTTCATCTGTCATTGCTTAACAAAGTAGAATTCTTCAAAGTCAAGCAAAATATAAGATAGAAAAACACAAACTTTGAACACCTGTGTTAAAAGGAATATTTTGATGGATTGGCTACTGCTAAGTGCAATGAAGCAGAAAGTTCTCAATCATTTTTATGTTTTACTTCAATGTACAAAGACTTCTTAATCCCAGCAGGTGGAGAATTTTCAAATTAAAGTCCAACTACACTCATGAGAAATGCAGAAATAAACCAGAAAAGTAGGGGAAAAAAACATTCCAAAGTCCTCAAGGTGTTTTTCACTGTGAAGAGATTATTCAGAATGTATCTACTTGATGGTACCAAGAATACCAATTAAAATAAAAAATAGGAAAGTTAACTATTGGGAGGAAGGGAGTTTCAAGCTTTTTTAAAAGAGAAATTCAAAGTATGCTTTATTATCACAGGAAAGAAGAAAATTTTTATTAAATAACTACAGTTGTTCTAGTTTTGTAGGTGACTCTTTGGCTTTAAGCATTAAATTATCTTAGTGGTAAATTAAATAATTAGTGCATATCAACATACATTCATGTATTCATGGGGCAGTTCTTTTGTCATCTTTCAATGCTAATTAGCTGTTTCACAAATAATTTATGTCTAGGTAGATGTAATATTGTTGCAATACATTTAAAAAGTATATTGAATATTTTTATTTCTGTTAGGAAGCAAACAATCAGAAACACTTTGGAAAGAAGTGTCAAAATCAATCTTACTGTCAAGTCATTTTGAAGATGTCCAAGTTCTTCCCGTATGTTGCTAAACGTGGACAGCACTAGTCTCAGTGACTTATCTGACATACCCCTCATCTGGGGAAGAAAGCAGTTGATGGTTTATTTGTACTAATGTTTCAAAATAGATAACACAAGCAAACATATTTTTTTTTCTGTTCCTATGAAAAAAACTTTAGAAAATTTACTTTTAATGCATTTTTTGAAATAGTTGCTCATTGTGTAGCCCTGACTGTCTTGGAACTTGATTTCCAGATAGAGCAGGCTGGCCTTGACCTCACAGAGATCCACCAGCTTCTGCTTCCCAAATTCTGAGAGTAAAGGCCTGTGCCACCAAACCCAGAATTTTATACATACTTTTAATTAAACTACAATATCATCACTTTTCTCCTTCTTTTCCCTTCCTCCAGACCCCTCCCATGCCCTCTCACTCTCAGCACATTATTTGGTTAGAGACAAAAAGAACTTTCTGAATAATGCTCTCAAGCAGGTCAAGCAACATTCCTCAAAGGATTTCAACTATGCCTTTGGAAGACTTTTTTTTTTCTTTTGTATGAAAAAAGTATCATCTTCATACAGCAAAATTCTATCATCAAATTTTGCTTTTATTTTAATCTTTGTGTAAGTGATTAAAAAAGAGATGAGGCACTTAATTTTCAAGCCCTAAAATGAACTTGCCTAAGTGTGCAGTGATGTGTATGGACTGTGCCTGAGATAGGAAGAATAAAGAAGTCTGTGGAGTACAGTGTGCTCTGTTCTAAGCCTCACAACTATTGTTTTCAGGAAGTACCCTGCCTTGACTGATTCTGTTTGCCCCAAAGGCTGTTTGCTACATTTTAGAATGTAAGATACCTCACAGCACATTCCTTGAAAAGATGTGTTCATTTTATAACATGTGTATGAGTGTTTTTGCCTACATGTATAGATATGCATCACGAGTGCCTGATGCCTGGGGAGGCAAGAAGAGGGCATCAAATCTCCTGAAAGTAGAGTTACTGAATGTTGTTAACTTTATATGGGTGCTGGGACCTCAAACCTGATTCTCTGCTATGGTAAAAAGTGATTCATCTGTCCAGCCCCTCAAAAATCACACAAAGCTGTTGAGACTGAATAGGGAACAGAACTAGATTGCTGCATTTTGAATACAAATCCTGAGGCAGAATGACTCCCTGTTCTGTTGGATGCAAGTGATAACTCAGTAAGAACCACGAGGCACAAACTGAAAAATAAATCATCTGTTTAGACAAATTAAATATTTTCACCTATGAACTTCTGCAATTAAATTAGATGAAGAACACATGGGAATATGGGCATATCAAAACCATAGAAAACAAAAACCAGGTCCAAAAGTCTATCATACACACCAGACAAACAAATGATGCAACACTCATATAAAAGGAGGTAAACCTGACACTGACTTATGGAGACTTATCTACATATCACCAGATTTGTGGTACTTGCATCTTGGGATCAACAAGTGATCAACAACTTTCAGATCTGACCCCAGAACTACGGCTGGTGATGGCCCTATCTTCCTGACATGGTTTACTGGAATTGACATTAGATGGGATGACTTTATATGGACTACCCTTGAACCATGTCTTCCTTGAAGAGATTTTGTCTTGAAAAACTCCTTCTGCATGGGTTCCTTAATATCTTACCTAACTACCTCCAATGGCTCTCATTGAATTTGTATGCGTGTACTGCTCAGGCCTTTAGGAAAACTTCTTTGAATCCTATAGTCTCTTTAATGGTTTCTTAGCAATTCTGCATCCTATATGTCATTGTGTGACATAAAATGTATAATATGTGCATTAATAGTAGTAGCTGAGATGTGAATAAAAGACCTTGTTATGTCCAATGGCCATAATATGAAATCAATGAGGGGTAATTGTTGAAGTACAGCCAACATACTGACAGCTTCTGAATTTGTTATTAATCAATAAATTCTGAAATTGTGGAAATACATGTAAAGTTCTACGCTTTTGTCAATATTTTTAACATAACATACTCCCCAATACTAATAAATTTTAGTGTTGAAATACAGATGAAACTGACTCATTTCAAAGGAGAGAAAATTCTTACAGTAAATTATTCACATTTGTTTATTGGGAAACTTCAGCTTCTGTAAAGAAGGAAGAGAAATACTTTTTCCTAAAGTTCTTTTTGTTTGTTTGTTTGTTTTTCAAGACCAAGCTTCTCTGTGTAGTTTTGTTGCCTGTCCTCGAACCCACAGAGATCTGCCTCCCGAGTGCTGGGTTTAAAGGCGTGCACCACCACCACCTGGGCTTTCCTGATGTTCTTATTATGACTGAAAAATCACAGACAATTATACATAAAAAATATTGAAGGGCTCAAGATGATGAAAAACTTTGTCTCTAGGCTAATGACCATGAAAGGAGCAGACAAACAATGAAAAAAAAAAACTTTAAACAATAACAATTTTATTCCAACCAACACATCAGGTTAGACTGAGGAAACTGACTGGATCTCACCTAAGGAAAAGAGGCTGAGAAATGAGCCCAGACTTCCGCCATGATCAGGATTTAAAGCAATACGCCAACCCTATTTTCTAGGATCTTGTCAGAAAAAGCAGAGTAGAGAGATGAGACTTTCATCCTAACAGCAAAAAAATGATCCCAAACTCTCTTGTATTCTTAATGCCATAAAGCCTTCCGTCCTATCATATGTAGACAGGCCAATTAGGAGAACCTTCACTTTCAATTCTCAGTAATAAAAACTGTTACTTCCTCTGATCTTTTACTGTAGGAGGTGACCTTCTAAAAAAAAATCTGAATAAGACTCAGAGTTTCATACCACAGTAAGAAAATGCTCAAGTTTCCATCTAGATTCACTAACCATTGAAAGACAAAAAAAGTCTCAAGTTGATAAGGAAAATCAATTGATAGGTGCCAATATCAAGATAAAAAGAACTGTTAGAATTGTCCAACACCGGGAAAGGAGGAGTCAGACTCTTCCATAAAATAAGCGAGAGAGAGAGAGAGAGAGAGAGAGAGAGAGAGAGAGAGAGAGAGAGAGAGAGAGAGAGAGAGAGAGAGAGAGAGAGAGAGAGAGAAGGAATAGTTACTGGGAAAACCAGATAAAACAATAGCAGATTTCACCTAGAAATCACAGAGACGGGAAAAACTGATACAATATTGTTTTTTCAAATACTCTAAAAACAGAAATATCAACTGTAAATTGTATATCTAATGAAATTGAGCTCCTTTTCAAATGAAGAAAACAAATCATGATATTTTTTGGGCCTAGGAAAATGGAAATAATAAGTCACTATTAGACCTACTTTTAAAGACCAGCTAAAGGAATTTCTCTAAATAGAATATAATTCTAAATCAAGAAATTTTGGACATTAAGAAGGAAAAAAATCATATGGGTAAACATGAAGGGCTATAAGTATGCTTAGCCTTCTTATGTTTGGTAGCTGAAACAAAAATTATAATACTAATATGTTGTTTATGAAAGGAGAAGAAATGTTTCAGAATAATATTATAAATACAAGATAAAGAGACATAAAACCCCAAAGCTTTCAGCTTTCTAAAACTGGAAAAATGCTCAAATTCACACACTGGATTCACAAATATATAATTTGATAGCAAGAGAAACCACTGAAAAAGTTGCACCCCAAAACAATAACAAATCAAAATGGAATTCTAAAGTGCCATGTATTTCATAAAGAAGCAGAACAAAGAATATCTGTGGGCAATTGTCTTGACTGATGATTGAAGTGGGAGGGTCCAGATCTCTGTGGACAGTGCCACCCTTGGGAAGGTGATTCTGAGTAAGCCAATACCTGATTTCCTGAATGCTAAACATTCTAGTTTTGGTGATCTATCTAAGCTATAATGTGATCTCTTAAAACACACACACACACACACACACACACACACACACACACACACACACACACACACAAAGACACTTTGAGTTTACTAAGAAATTATTAAAAATTAATGTAAGTTGATCTGAAATTTAGTGTTACTACTACTTTCTTTTTTTAATTGAAAATATTTTGTCACACAATATATCCTAATTATACTTTCCCCTCCCTCAACTTCTCCCAGTTCCTCCAGACTCGCACCCTCTTCTGGAACCACTCCCTTTCTGTCTCACAGTAGAAAAGAACAGGCAGGCTTCTTAGAGATAACAACCGAACATGACAAAATAAAATACAATAAGATGAAGCAAAACCTATCATATCAAAGTCAGACACTGATCCCATCTTACCTGCAGAATATAACGAATTTGCTGTTTTGTAAACTCTGACAGCCCTTTAGGAATCAATGACTCAATGTCTTCTGACTGTAAGAAAATGGAATTTATCCATTGAAAACATCAATATTTTAGTCTTATAGGCCGCAGTTTATAGGCTTTTGTGTAAAAAGGCATATTTGGGGAGATTAAGTTACTTTTCAAAGAATAGTTTCTATGAATACCATTTACAGTTTTACAAATTCTCACTTTTAAATCCTTAGTTATATTACACAGATTTTGAAATAATACTAAATTCCAGAGATTGTTAGAGAAAAGATTTGGGCAACCAGCCAAATATTCCATTTCTACTTTAAAAGATCAGTTTAGGGCTAGGGCCAGGTGGCATAGTGCTTCCACAGCATTAAGGGGGTGGAGGAAAAAGCAGTTTCAAACAAAATGGTTACTTATCTGGGTATGGTGCTACATGCCAATACTCTCAGGACCCAAGTGTTTGAGGCAAGAGGAGCAAGGCTAGCTTGTGCTACATAAGTTCAAGGCAAGGCCATGATATATATAGCCAGATCCTGTCTCATAAAAGCAAATAATAATGATGATGGAGATAATAACAATGTTATAATAATTCAAATTCCACTGAAAATAACATCACTGTATCCTCCAAAACCAAGTTTTGTTGGATGGTAGACACGTTTGAGAAGCTTAAATTTTAAATTATGAAAACTGTGAAATAAAATTATAGATATTATAGGACTTAAAGAAAATTTGCTTGAGGCTATGGTGACTTTTGAGAGATTATAATGTTGCCACAGCAACATTTGTAAGCTTCAACTAAATTTAAGAGAGAAGCTAAAATAAGTGCTTTTCAAAGGCAATTAAAGACATACACAATTACTTTGGTGAATGTAGAATAGTGATACAATGAAAATAATGATAAAATAAAATAATATATAAGAGGCAGTTGTTCTTTTTGTTATACTAAAATAAACTCTATTTATTGCTTATTAAATTAAAATAGTTTTACAAAATTGCAAATGTAAAGAAATTGATACAAAGGTTTTTAAATTCCAATTGATGTCACACACTATATTTAAAGCATATTAGAAGAAATTGATTTTTATTGTATAAATTTCTGTCTTCTGAAAACAGTTTTGTGATCAGGCAAATTTTAATTGTGCATTCAACAATGACAATTTAAATCCTAGTGACAATCACAAAACTATTCTTTGTGGTTATTGTATTTGTAGACATTACAAAGATATAAACATTATTTATTTTACTAACCTGTGTTTCCAGTCTAATAAATATACTAAATAAAAGAATATTATTGGTATCACAATCACGATGTACTTTGTTGTCTATTTAATTTTAATGATTTTTGGACTTACTGCATCTGAAGACTCAAAGTCTTGTTTGCTGCAAGAATAACAATAAAAAGACAACTTTAGGAAAATGGATTCAGTAATTTTATATAAATATGCCTGATCTACTTGTTTTATATTTTGTATATCCTAATAGTACTAGTTTAAGTTAGAATCAAATATATATATATATATATATATATATATATATATATATGGAACTTTCACTTAGTTTGACTAAAATAACTTTTCTAGAATTAGCTGACCTACTAAAAATGGGTAACATCCAAATAAAAAATTATAAAATATGCAGAATTAGTTAGTACATCATCCATTTTCACCAGTCTGTCTGAGGGTAGATGTAGAAGTGCTTGACAGCAAATTGTCCTTAGGTAATTAAACAATTACAGGTTTTCTCTATTTCTACCTCCCTTTTCTCCCTCTGGTTCTCACTTTCAATTTTGAGTCTAGTTTCTGTTACTGTTTTCATGTTATTCATTCCATTTTATCAAAATGAAAACTTTCAAGATAAGGTCAATTCATTTAATCTATGTGTACTAGAAAGACATGAGGTTAGAACAGTATTTGAATCTACACCAAACAAAGCAAAATGATCAAAATTTTAGTTTGACAATAAGATTTTGAGCAAGAAAATGAATATTTGGACAGAGAGATTGAGACAGTGTTTTTTTGGAGCCAAATTATGAAGGCAACTCTTATGGGATTGTCAATGTTTATACCAATCTGGTATATGCTCCTGTAGGAATTGTGAAGACTTGGAAGAATACAGTTACAGTGTTGTCAAGGGCAACAGATCAAATTTTATTTTTGTCTAATTGCTCCTCTGCACGTAGTAGAAGAATGAGGTATGAACATGTACGTGAACATGCCAAAATAAACAGAAAAACAGTTGTATATGTTCTGACAGCAAGACAGAAATATTTTAAGTTAGAGTTTTAGTACATTAGTTCCTCCCTTTATCCCTTATGTAATTGCTTATGAGCAAAATGTTGCTTATAGAGATAAGTGGGTCACTGTTAAAAGCCTCTTGCATACATTTATAAAAATAGACAAGCTACTACAGCAAAAGAGAGCTGTACATTCCCATTCCCAGTGCATGCCTAATAGTACATGTACAATAGTTTACATGTATGTGTTTGGCATTTGTTGTATTGTGCCAAATAGATATATTGGGATAGACTTAAAAAATGAAATATCCACAAAACATAACTACAGCCCAAAAGAGGAGCATTTAGACCTAATCAAGATCTTGGGAGCATTTTGCAGAAAAGCTGAGTCATAGTTTATAGCTAAGAAAATAGAATATTTAAAAATATTTGAATACATCTCAAGCCATCAGAAGATAAGTAATCTTATTAATAACATGCCACCTACATCTTCATCTGAAATTTTATAAGGTTAGTTTTGAAATTTTATGATACAGACAAACAGTACAGTATCTGGCATATTATGGTCATTCAATGAATAGGCTATTGTGGGGAAGAGAAAAACATTAACATAGCAAACTTGTGCAAAAGAAATTGAATGCATCAGCTAGTTCTTTGGGTCATGGGGGAGAAGAAAGTAGTTTGGGTAATTTGAGAAGATGTTGATTAGGTATAACGATCAAAACTTCACAAAAGAGAAAACTTATATTTTATAAGGGAATAAATGTAACAATTAGCTGTACTTTGCTGTATGTTAAATGAATTAACAGTAATGATAGCATACGTTTAGTCAACAGACACTGAGTCCTGTATTAAGCCAAATGAATTCCAAATTACATAAAACAGCTTTTGTGTAGCTAGCTCCCTAAATACTATGGACGGCTGACAGCAGCTGAGTTTTAGAAATGGTAGTAGAAAGAGATAGTGGAAACAGAGTCCTAGTGAGAACATTTGACTTACCTAAAGTTAGCATTTTGCTAAGTGGGATAGCCAAGCAAATAAGAACAAAAAGTAGTTGAGGAAATTGGTAGTAGGAAGGTAATAAAGTTGATAGAAAAGAGATGGGCAAAAGATTAAAAGAATATATTAAAGGCACTAAATATAAATGTTGATCTGGAAAATATATCGCTTCTTTAACTTAAAAGGTATACAAAATAGTACATATTGGTTGATACCCTCTATATTGATATGCTATATAAGTTCTATATTATAAAAATTTAGAAGCAAAAGAATGCAGTCAATGAAAATGTTGAATTAAAAAAATCTTTTGACATTCCTTTATCTTCCAAATTACTTTGTAATTTGCTGTCACAGTCATGCTTTGACTAGATAGCACTAGGTAACTCATTTAATAGCCATGTGCTGTCATTAACAAATTAATGATTCCTTCAAATTCCAGGGAATCCAAATTCTACTGGTCTGTGCAGGCACCTGTAATCATGTGGTGCACATAAACTCATGCAGGCACACACATGTACACATAAAAAAGGTAAATTATTGAAGTATATAGAGTTGCATGTCATCTACTAAATTAAAATTTTTTATTTATAAATATATAATACTCCATAATTTATATGTTACATACAATATATTATATAAATCAATATAGTATGTGATTTATATGTATAAAATATAATCTTTACAGATAAAATATTTATAAATTGAGAACACATCAATGGCATACACATAGTGGTGTATTGGTTGTAAAAGTATACATTCTATTATAAATGTAGTATGTAAAAATCAAGTCAAAATAACCATATATTTTTAATTGACACATAGAATTATATGTATTCATGAGGCACCAAGTGATGTTTCCATACATGTGTAAATAGTGTAATTTTCAAATAACTTTAAACATTTCTATTATATCAAACATATTTTCTTTATGAGGAAAACACTCAAAATCCTTTCTTCTAGATTTGAAACTTAAAGTTCTTTATCATTATCTGTAGTCAACACTCTCAGGTAGCACACTAAAATTTGCCCTTATCCAGCAGTAATTTAGTGTACACTGAGTAACATTTACACCTTGAACCCTCTACTGCATTGAGCTTGTGACAATGACCATCCCACTCTCACTTTCTATGAAATTCTTTTTTTTAATTACAAACTATGTCATGTGACACTTGCTTTATGTGCCTGTGTTGTTTTACTGAATAGAGTCACTTCCAATTCCATTTATGTTGTTGAAAATGATAGAAATTTATTCTTTTTTTCTGCTGGTAGATTGTCAGATTGCTTCCATTCCCTGGTATCGTGAACATGGGAGTCAAGGTGTGTCTTTTACATACTCATTTCATTGTATTTGATTATATACCCAGTGTTCAGATTTCTGGATCACATGGAAGCTCTAGTTTTCATTTTGAAAGTCCTCTATATTCTTTCCTATAATGACTAGTGTATACCTGTACATTACCACAATATTCATTTCCTTCTCTACATCTGCACCATCATTTGTTATCTTTTGTCTTTTTAATATGTCAGTCATTTTATTTAGCTTCTTTCCCAAGGAGTGGTTTTTGTTATCAAAGTACAATACAAAAGAAAACATACATAATTCTTAACGATCTAAAAGTAGTTAATGAGGTCTCTGCTGATTTTCATAAAGTGCATTAACTCTCCTTTGTTTGGTTTTGATCTTTTTGAGACATAGACTTGCTATACAGCACCACCAGGAAAGATAAGATATGTAGCCCAGGATGTCATCAAAATGAAGGCATTCTGCCAGTTCAGCCTCCTGAAGGCTGGGATCACAGGTGTGAGGCCACCACAATCAGATGGATTAACTTTTTAAAAAATTTGTATACAGTGTTCTGCCTGCATGTATGCCTGCACACCAGAAGAGGGCGCCAGATCTCATTATAGATGGTTGTGAGCCACTATGTGGTTACTGGGAATTGAACTCAGAATCTCTGAAAGAGTAGTCAGTGCTCTAAACCTCTGAGCCATCTCTCCAGTCCCCTTGATTAACTTTTAAAATGAAACATTTGCTCAGTTCTCTGATATAATTGATCTATTTACTCATTAAGAGTACTGGTATTCTGCTGTAAACCTGAATGTACTCTTCAAAAAGGCTATTTTAAGGGCTATAGAGATGTTCAGTGGTCAGGACCACATACTGTTCTGTGAGAGGATCCAAGTTGCATTTCTAGAACGATGCTGGGCATCTCACAACTGCATGTAACAAAAATCCCAGGGTCTCCAACTACCTCTGGACTATGAGGGCACCTGAACACATGTGGTGTACATTAACTCATTGAGGCATACATGCATACACATAAAAAAAAATCTTTAAATGTTTAATTTTAAAATTACAAGAAGAGACTAAATTATTTGACAACTGCAACATCAAGACAAAAAATGCATTTATAGTACCTTCCTCCAATTCTCTCCAAATGTTCTAATAAGCAGTGATATAGGTCTGTATTCTTGCGGCTTAGGTCAGCAAGCAACTCTCCAAAATATTTGGGGTCCAATTTTTCAGGGCCATCATCCTGAATTATCACCTAAAGCAAATATCAATTATAATTATAAGCAATATTGTTTTTCTAAGCTCACAGATACATTGATATGAAAATTTAAAGAATAAAAATTCTATTAGAATCATCACATGAATCAAGCCACTGAATTGTCTATGCATCAGATGTGTATATTTTTAGTAGGGAAAGAACTGCAAGGAAAATCAACATTGAAACAGTATTTTCAATTTAATTTCTCTCAATTAGAAGTAATCTAGTGAATGCAAAACTTGAGTAACATTAATTTTTCTTTCTTTTATTGAAAATAGGTGTTTTTCTTATAATGTATCTCTGATCACAGTTGTCCCTTCTCCAAGTCCTCTGAGATTCCCTTCATGTTTCCCCTCACTGGACTCTACACCCGTTCTGTCTCTCCTTAGAAAACAAACAGGCATCTAAAAATAATAATTAAATAAAATAAAACAAAATCTAACAAACTGGAATAGGATAAAGCAAACAGAAGAAAAAAGATAAAGAAAAAGCACAAGATATATACATAGATGCAGAAAGACGATTGTTTATACACATAATAATCCCCTGAAAGCATAAAACCAGAAGCCATAATACATGCACAAAAGACATTTAAGGTTAGAAGGAGGAGGAGGAGGAGAAGAAGGAGGAAGGAAGGAAGGAGGAAGAGGAAGAGGAGGAGGAAAAGGAGAAGAAGAAAGAAGGAGAAGGAGGAGAAGGAGGAGGAGGAAGAAGAAGAAGAAGAGGAAGAAGAGGAAGAAGAGGAAGAAGAGGAAGAAGAAGAAGAAGAAGAAGGAGGA